TGGGACTGTGGGTACAGAAGGCTTTGTGGGAGCACGTGGGATGCTTGGCTGGGAGAGGCTGGAGATGCAGAGCTGGAACTCAGTTTGCTGCGGCTGCATCTTGTCAGTGTGGCTGCCATCCCCTCTCTGAGGCAGGAAAATGAGATTCATTTTCCAGCAGGGATGAAACCCCCATCCCCCTGGCCCCTGGTGCTGGGGGGAGCTGTGACCATCCTTTGCTGGCTCCAGCCCAGAGCTTGGGGGATGAGCATCCATCCTCTCCACTCTCTCCAATTTCCTTCCCTTCCGTTCCCATCCAGCCACAGCTGTGCCCAGTCAGACACAGCTCCTGGACTGGCACAGAGCAACCACAGAGCCACGAGGGGCTCAGGGCCCTCCCCACTGCTCCCTTTCTTTGGCACCAGCAATGAAAGGGTTACAATGAAATCCATCTGTGCAGAGCTTCTGGAATTCCAGATCCTCAGTGTGCTGCAGAGAAAGGCAGCAGGAATTGGAAATATTTGACCCCAGTGATGGGGTGGCATTGCTGGACATGATTTTGGACGTGGTTCATGGATCTGGGGGGGGTGAGGGCACCTCTGGGTGCTGCAGCCTTGGGGTCACACGAGGACACACAGGGAGGGCAGGGATGCTGCTCCAGCCTTGTCTTGTCCAGGAAAGGGTGGATTTCTCCTGGTGGATGCTCCTGGGGAGCAGCCAACCCTCCTGCATCACGTGGAGGCTCCTTCCTTGCCCTCTCACTGCTGCTCCTGTCTCTCTCAGAGCTCATTGGTGACTCCTGTGGTCTCTGTGTCCCTTGAGGAGCTGGCACGGGGCTGGCCATGGGGAGAGCAGTGTGCTGTGACAGCTGGGCTGTGCTCCCCAGCTGCTGCCTTCACCACCTCTGATCCTTTTGAAATCATCTGCCCAGCTGAGTCAGTTCAGGCAGGCAGTGCCAGGTGAGGAAATGCCTGCTCAGGGAGCTGAATCGGCTCCCTGCAGCACCAAATGACCTTTGGACCAAAACTAAAGGAGTGAAAGCAGTTCCCTGCTTTTCAAATCATCTTCCTCAGCCAGTGCTGACCTGTTCCAGTGCTGACCTATTCCAGTGCCAGGTAAGGAATCACCTCCTGCAGGGAGTGGCTGCAGTGCAGGTGCTCTGGGGACCTTGCCCTGTTCGGCTCCTTCCTCCCGCACCTGTGGCTCCCCTTGGGGGTCCTGCAGGAGAAATTCCCTTCCTCATCCTGGCAGCTGCATTTCCAGTTGGGAAATGCAGCCTGGAGCATTAGGATTGCCTAAATGTACCCAGACCAGGCCATCAACGTGGCCTGGATCCCCAGCATGAGCCCCGGCCTGATGGGACACACCCTTGTTAGACAGGGAATAACCCGGAGTGTCAGTGAAAGCACTTTGCTTCTTTTGGGGCACTTTATTGACTTTGCAGCCCTGCAGCAGCACAGGAGCCACTCAAGCACTGCTGCAGCTGCCCCTGGGGCAGGGCAATGTTTCAGTGCCACAGTGGGATGGCTGCCACCTCCCTACTGGAATTTTTTGTGCACATACTGGGCCCCGTGCTCCTGGTACTCTCCCTTTGTCATCCAGGTGTGCTGGAAGGAGGTGAGTGAGGCTGCCATGGAGCCCCCAGTCCAGGCTGCTGTGGCCCTCTTGGGGCTGGCCAGCACCTCGATGTGCACTCCTGCTCCTCGGAACAGCAGGTTCAGCTCCAAGCACATCCTCTCAGGAAAGCCAGGGAACATGGAGGAGCCCCCTGAGAGTACAATGTTGCCCAGCACGTGTCTCCTGGCCTGCTGGGGCACGGTGTGCAGGCTCTGCCAGGCCAGCTGGTGCAGGCCGGGGCAGCTGAGCTGCAGCAGCTCGGGCCGGAACAGCGGCTCGGGGCAGCAGAAACGCTCCTTGCCCAGGGTGATCCAGCGCCCGTCAGGGGTCTGGAATCTGGCTGGATGATGGGATCCCTCCTCCTGGAGGTCTCCCTCATAGTCCAGGGACACGTAGCAGCACTGCTCCTTCAGCTGGGTCAGCACCTTCTTTGTCAGGGCCTGCAGCACTGAGGGCTCCGTGTGGCTCTGCTGCAGCAGCAGCTGGTGCAGGTACCTGGACAGGTGATCCCCGGCCACCCCCAGGCTGCGGGTGCCCTTCCTCAGGGTCTGGCCCCCCCAGACGGAGGTGACATGGGACACGGCCGCCCCGGCCTCCACGGCCAGCCCTGTGACCCTGCCGTGGGCACAGAGTGACAGGAAGCCGGTGTTGGCCAGGTGCAGCGCGGGCACCCCCAGGCCCTCGAACAGCACCTCGGCCGCCTTCACCCTGTCGGTGCCAGGGCAGGACGGGGACTCTGCCAGCAGCACCGGGTGCTCCTCTGGGGACACCTTGAGGCAGCAGCAGATCAGGTGGTCCCACAGGGTTCTCATGCTGTGCCAGTCCTCAACCAGGCTGTACCTGAGCGGGCAGCGCCGTGGGGCCGGGGTCGAGCAGCGCGGGCTCTCCGTGCCAGGGCAGGGCTGCCAGGGGTCCCACGGGGTGCCCAGGCTGCAGGGCAGCAGTGTCCTCAGCACGCACTGGGGCTGCTCCTGGCCTGCAAAGCCACCTCGGGTGAAGCGGCTGCCGCTGTCGATGACCACTGCGGGCTTCAGCATGGCTGGGGCTCCTCAGGGATAACAGGCATGGAGGAACAGCCTGCAGTGGGACAGGAGGGTCTGGTGAGGGCAAAGCAGGCTCAAGTGCCTGCTCTGCCCCACTGGGGGACAGCAGTGTCTGCTCTGGAAGTGGCTGGGTTTGTCCCTCCTGTTCCCTGTCTCACTGAGCATCCCTCCTTGTCTCCATCCCCTGAGGTTCTCTGACAGTGCAAGGACAGAAGTTCAGGTGGCTTTAAGGAAGCAAAGGAACACTGGACAGGAAAATTAAGTGTGTGGACCAAATCCTGGGCTGTATCTGAAGGAGAGGTGCCAGAAGGTCAAAGGAGGTGACTCTGCTCATCTGCTCTGCTTTGTGAGACCCCATTTGGAATATTGTGCACAGTTCTGGTGTCTCCAGCATAAGAAGGACATGGAACTGTTGGAGCAATTTCAGAGGAGGCCACAGAGTTTCTGAGGGTACTGGAGCACCTCCTCTCTGGAGACAGGCTGAGAGAGCTGGGGCTCTTGAGGCTGGAGAAGAGAAGGTTGTGTGGAGACCTCCCAGCACCTTCCCAGGGTGTGAAGGGGCTACAGGGAAGTGGGAGAGGACTCTGTCAGGAACTGTAGTGACAGGACAAGGGGAATGGGATCAAACTGAAAGAGGGGAAATTTAAGTTGGATATTAAATGCATGAAGTTCTTTGAGGGTGAGGGTGGGCAGACCCTGGGACAGATTTCCCAGAGCAGCTGTGGCTGCCCCTGGATCCCTGGAAGTGCCCAAGGCCAGGCTGGACAGGGCTTGGAGCCATCTGGGACAGTGGAAGGTGTGCCTGCCATGGCAGGGGGGGATTGGAACTGGATGATCTCTGAGGTCCATTCCAATCCCTTAACATCTTCTGATTCCATAAATGCTGCTGCCAGCAGAGCCCATAGCACATGGAGAGGAGCTGAGAAGATTTGTGATCCCAGCTGGCAGAGAAGCCAGGACTTCCCTGGCTCTCTGTGCCTCGCAGACCTGCTCCTGCGGCATGGTGTGCCTCTTGACCTGTTCTTTGGGCACTCTCCAGGCCAGGTGACCCTTTAGAGGACACAGTCTCAAGCTATGTCAGGGAAGGTGTAGGTTGGATATTAGGAAAAAGTTTTTCACCAAAAGAATAATAAAGTACTGGAATGCTCTTCCCATTCCAGTATGCACCCCAGGGAGGTGGTGGAATCACCATCTCTGGGTGTGTTTAAAAAAAGACTGCACATGGCACTTGGGGCTATAGTCTGGTTGAGGTGTTAGGGCAGAGGTTGGACTCGATGGTCTTAGAGGTCTCTTCCAACCTCATTATTCTGTGATCTGTGAGTCTCTGATTCTGTGATTTGTTCTCCCCCAAGCTTCTCACATGCCCCTCTGGTTGCACTTTTACACCACCCACCAGGAATTCATCAGGGAGTGTCTCATGGGAGCAGCCAGGCTGGCACTGTTTCCCTGGGCAGAGAGGGCACAAAGCCAGCCCTGCCAGTGGTGGGGGGGTCCCTGGAGGAGCTGCCAGCACCCAGCGGCTGCCACAGGCTCCCAGCCTTGTCCCCAGCCCTGCAGTGAGCAGAGCACTGTGTGAGCAGGGGCACAGGGGATGCTGTGCCAGCCTGGGGCCCTCCCTGGGGCTGGGGGCTGTCCCTGAGGGTGACCCTGACCTTGTGGCTGGTGTCCATGTGCCCTCCTGGAGCTGGCAGGGCTGGCCAGGGCTGGCAGGGCTGGGCTGTGGTGCTGGGCAGGAGTGCCCATGGAACCATGGCTGCATGCCCTGCTGTGATCTCACAGCAATGCACCCCGAGGGTTCTCCTGCCCCACAGCCTCACTTCTACCCCCAATGTCACTTGTGGTGACAATTAAAATTTGATTGAAACCCACCCTGTTGCAGACATCGTTTCATTAAAAATCTTTCCTCAGGATTTTTCCTCCTGAGAAGCTGAGAGGCTTCAGGAACAAAATGTAAACAATGGTTATCTGCTGCTGTGGAATGCAACAGGTGCATCTGGGATTGGTCTCATGTGGTTGTTTCTAATTAATGGCCAATCACAGTCAGCTGGCTCGGGCAGACAGTCTGAGGCAGCTGCCTTTGTTATCATTCTTGTTTTTCTATTCTTAGCTTAGCTAGCCTTCTGAGATGAAACCGTTTCTTCTGTTCTTTTTAGTATAGTTTTAATGTAATATATGTCATAAATTAATAAATCAAGCCTTATGAACAAGGAGTCAGATCCTCATCTCTTCCCTCACCTGAAAACCCCTGTGAACACCATCACACCACCCCGTTTTGTTTATTTAAGGGACAGCCTCTTCCAGGTGTGGCTCTGCTGCCCCTGCACAGGGGCAGGTCTGACACATCCTATCCCCTCTGCCCAGAGGTACGAGACAGCCTCCAAGATGGAGCAGTTCCTGACGCGGTTCCTGCTGCGGGAAACCATGCACCAGCTGCAGTCCCTGCAGGCGTCCCTCGAGTGCGCCGTGGACACCGTGGAGGAGCAGGCGGGGCGGGAGAGGTACAGGGGTGGGATGGGGTGGGATGGGGTGGGATGGGATGGATGGGATGGATGGGATGGATGGGATGGGATGGATGGGATGGGATGGGATGGGACGGGATGGGATGGGAGGAGCAAATAGGACAGCAGAGGTACTGGGGTGGGACAAGAGAGGTACCGAGGTGGAATGTGAGAGTTGGGACAGGGTGGGACAGGAGAGGTACCAGGGTGGGATTGGAGAGGTATGGGAATGGGAGCGGTACCAAGATGGGATGGGATGGGAGAGGTACTGGGGTGGGACACAAGAGGTACTGGGGTGGGACATGAGAGATGGGACAGCAGAGGTACTGGGGTGGGAGAGGTACTGAGGTAGGATGGGAGAGGGACTGGGGTGTGACAGGACAGGTACTGGGACAGGACAGGTACTGGGACAGGAGGGGTACCAGGATGGAATGGGAGACGAGAGGTACTGGGGTGGGATAGGAGAGGTGGGACAGGGTGGGACATGCCCAGCCCCTGTCCCCAGCCCTGCTCCTCACAGCCAGCAGCCCTTTCCCAGCCCAGTGCTGAGCTGACACCTCTAGGAATGGCTTCAACTCCTCCTTTTACATTTTTTGTTTTAATTCCAGAAAGGAGATCAAGAACTCGCAGACTTCGGTTGGCCTGAGGTCAGGGAGGCGCTGTGGGCGCAGGGGACAGAAGAACGTCTGTCTGTCCCCAACAGACCCCTACTCTGGGATGCTGACAACAGGTACCTGCTGTTCCTCAGTTCTTTGTGTCCTGCTGGAGCCTGGAGGGGGTGTGGGGCCAGCACAGAATCACAGTAAAGTGGGAAAAGATCTCCAAGATTGAATCCAGCCGTTGCCCCAGCTCTACCAAGGCCACCTCTAAGTCATGTCCCCAAGTGCCACATCTCCAGCAGCACTGGGCAGTGAGGGCTCCTCCAGGATGGAGCCTGGAGCATCTCACCCAGGTGCCAGCTGGAGCTTCTGGGGGATGTTGTGTCTCTTGGACAGTAGGAAAAAATTCAAGGTTTTTGGATTAAATCTGAGGTTTAGAAGATTTTGTGGGGTTTGGATCTTGAGCAAGCTTTGGCTGTGACAAAGCTGAGCTTTTTTTGGGTGACACCTCTGTGCCCTTTGCCCTGCAGGTGTTTGTGTCGAGGACAACAGCCAGTGGATGGCTCAGATCAACAGGCTCCAGCAGCTCATCGAGAAGCTGGAGTGCAAGGTGTGTGCCCAGGGGGTGCTGGGGCTGCCCCACACCTGGGCACGGCCACAGCAGTGCTGGGACCCCCCTCCCATCAGTGCCAGCGCCCCCTGTTCAGCCCTGGCATTGGCACAGGGCTGCCCCAGCCCTGCATGCCCTTCCCCCCAGCTCTGCTGACCCTGTCCTGGCTTCCCCGGGGGGCTGAGGAGTCCCCCAGGCCCCAGTGACCCCACAGGTGTGCAGGGCACAGCCCTGCCCTGCCCAGGTGCCACAGGGAGTGTCCCTGGGGCAGTCCCCAGCTGTCCCTGGGCTGGTGCCACTCCTGCTGCAGAGCTCTCCTGGTGACTCTGGTCTTACCCAGTAACTCTGGGTTATCCCAGTAACTCTGGTTTTTCCTGGTAAATCTTGTTTTTCCCTGGTGCTTACACAGAGCCCCCGCCTGGAGCCACTGAAGGAGGAAGCCATGTGCAAGGGACAGGATGCAGTAAGTCCCTGTCCCTGTCTGTGTCCCCATCCCTGTCCCTACCCCTGCCATTTTCCTGTCCCTGTCCCATCCCCTGTCCCTCTCCCTGTCCCTGTCATTTCCCTGTCCCCATTCCTTTCCCTGTCCCTGTCCCTACCCCTGTCCCTTTCCGTGTCCCTGTCCCTGTGCCTGTCCGTGTCCTTGTCCCTTTCCCTGTCCCCATCCCTGTCCCTGGTGTGCGGTGCCCCCTGTCCCACGCTGCCCATCCTGCAGCCCTGCCGTGCCCCGCTGATGGCGCAGCCTGGGGACAAGTGCAGCTCCCTCGTGTCCCTGCCAGCCCCGAGGGTGGCACCCTCTGCCTGTGAGTGCCCACAGAGCCAGGGGAGGGGTGCCCAGGGGGAGGGGTCCCCAAGCCCCTTTTTGGGGGGAATCTGCAGCAGGATCCCCCCAGGGGGATGGAGCATCTCCTGTCCAGGTGGGCAGCAGCCCTTGGTGTCCCCGCTGTCCCCAGCGCTGCGGTGGCACCGGGGGGAGCAGGGGGGACAGCCCCTGACCCTGTGCTGTCCCTGGCAGCACATCCTGGTGGCCAAGAGGCAGATCTCGGTGGCCACGAGCAGCATCGAGCAGTTCCGGAGGGCGGTGCGCTCCTACACCGAAGGCACGGCCGGCCACAGCAGCTGCCTGCAGTGAGTGCTGTGTGTGCTTTATGGGCGTTTTTGGGGTGTTTTGGGGGTGCTTTGGGGGTGTTTTTGGGGGTGCTTTGGGGTGTTTTGGGGCTGCTTTGGGGATTCCCCCCCAGAATTGGTGGGGGGGAACAGGGTGGGACAGCAGAGGTACCGGGGTGGGAGAGGTAGTAAGGTAGGATGGGAGAGGTACTGGGGTGGGACAGGACAGGTACTGGGACAGGACAGGTACTGGGATGGAATGGGAGAGGAGAGGTACCGGGGTGGGACAGCAGAGATGGGACAGGGTGGGGCAGGAGAGGTACTGGGTAGGATGGGAGAAGTACCAGGATTGGACACGAAAGGACTGGGGTGGGACAGGAGAGGTGGGAATGGGTGGGACGGGAGAGGTACCAGGTGGGACGTGCCCAGCCCTGTCCCCAGCCCTGCTCCTCACAGCCGGGTTTCTAGGGGGACACAGGGGTGTGTGGGGGGTGTTTTGTGTGCGAGGCTGGGCTGGGAGCTGGCAGGCAGGGTGCCCCCAGTGCCATCCCATCCGCTGCAGGTGTTCCCAGTAAGAACCAGTGCCTGGGGAGGAGTGGGGGGTTTGTGCCAGCGGGAGTGGCTGTGGAGTGTTCCTGTGAGCAAATACAGCACTGAAGGACTCAGCAGCAGTGGAAGGTCCAGGGCAGGGCTCCTGCAGAGCTGTGGTGGATGCAGAGCCTGTGGGGAGCTGCCACGAGCATCTGAAGCTGCCCTGGGGAGGCCAAGGCTGCCCCAGAGCCCTGCAGGGCCATGGCAGTGCCAGGCTGGCCCTGCTGGCACAGCTGCTCCCTCCCTGTGCCACGGGCACTCCAGGCTGCCTCCAGCAGGGAACGTTCCTGCTGCTCCCGTTTCGAGTGTCCTTCCTCAGCTCTTCACTGTCAACAGCACAAATTCTCATTTTCAGTCCAAACAAAAGGAAGATGCTCGCTGTGACACGTGTGGTGGAGAGAATGGGAGGGGTTTTGTTTGGAGTTGATGGGTTTTATCTCATCAGGGTTATTTGTGGAGGCAGCAGGGTGGTGGTGTGTGGGCTGTGAGCACAAAGCTGAGCCTGGGGACAGTCCGTGGGGCTGGGTCCCTGCAGGGCATCACAGAGCCCCGTGTTTAGCTGGGCACAGAGCCCCAGAGCTCCTGGTGACATTCTGGGCTGTCCCCCAGGGCCTGGCCCCCTCAGCAGCTGCAGGGAAGGCTTGGCCTCAGCTGGGATTGCTGCTGCTGCTGCTGCCCAGCACAGCTGCTTCCCCTGGCTCAGCTGCACCCCAGCGCTGCAGGGCTCTGGGGCAATTTCTTACTGTGCTTTATTATTTCTTACTCCTCCCCAGCCAGTGCCAGCCTCTCCTGGGCACCCGGGAATGTGGAATTGTCACTGTGGGGGCAGAGAGCTGGGGGTCTGTGCTGTGAGCTCAGCTCCTGCCCCCTGCCTCAGTTTCCCTCTGTGTGAAGGGTGACACCAACCTGCTCCAAGGGGCTGGAAGGCTGAGCTGTGTCAGGGCTGGGAAGGAGAAAGAAATAATAAAACACAGTAAGAAATACTAAAACACAGTAAGAAATAATAAAATAGAGTAAGAAATAATGAAATACAGAAGGTGCTGGTTCCTGGGCAGCAGCAAACACCAGTGTGTGAGGGCTGTGCAGCTCCTCTGCCACCTGGACACAGGAGCTGTGGAGCAGGAATTGGGTTTGGGATCCTCTGGAGATGTGAATGTACCCAGACTGTGCTTTGGGAGCCTTGTGGAGAGAGTGATGGGCACAGCAGTGCCTTGCTGTGCCAGGGCTGTGCCAGGGCCGTGCCAGCCTGCCCAGGGCTCAGGGTCCCTCTGTCCCCACAGTGTCTCTGCCTGCAAGCTGAGTGACGAGCCCTGCTTCATCCTGTACGAGTTCTGGCAGGACGTGACCTCATGGAGAAGGTGGGGCAGTGCCCATGTGTGGGGCTGGGGGCTCACAGGGGGTGCCCCCTGCTCCCTTCCCGTGCCCAGCCCGTCCCCCTGCCCTGCCCTGTGTGCCCTGGGCAGCTGCAGCTCACAGAGGGGAGCACTCCCATAAAGGGTCTGGGGAGCAGGGGCTGGGGGTGCAGCAGCTGCTCTGTGTGGGCACAGGGCCCTGGCACCACATCCCCCTGAGGCCACACCCTGTTTTACAGCCATTTGCAGTCCAGCTGCAGCAAGACCTTCCAGCAGTCCATCCTCAGCCTGCTGGAGTCCCCAGAGCTGCTGACCACCATGCTGTTCCCAGGTGAGGCTGCCCCAGCCCTGCTCCGGTGCTGCACAGGGCAGGAGCAGGCACTGGGGCTCCCTTCAGGGCACAAAATCACTTTGGGGTCACCTAAATGAGATTTTTCAAGCCTCAGAGTGAGACCTGTTGTCCCCAGCAGGTTTGGCTGTGTGAGCTGGGCTCTGTCCCCTGCCCAAGGTGGGGACAGCCAGGAGCAGGGACAGCCAGGAGCAGGGACACTGCCCAGGCAGCAGATAAGCTGAGTCCTGGCCCAAATACACCTGGAGCCTCATTTTGTGTTTCCCCTGAGCCTGAACCTGCTCTGCAAAGTGCTGCTGCTCCCAGCTCAGTGCCAGGGGCTCCAGCCCAGCTGGGGCAGGGGGAGGCCAGCACAGGGAATGTGCCATTGCCAGGGTACCCATGGAAGTGGGACCAGCTGTGGGGACTGGGAACCAAATTCAGCCCCAGTTTGCTTTCAGGGATCACTGCAGGGTCTTGGAAAATATTTGTCCATAAAACATGGATTAAATTGGACTGAAGAACCCTGCTGCTCCTGAGGTGCCAGTGCCACTGACCTCATTCCCAGTGCCCCTGACCACACTCCCAGTACCATTGACCACATTCCCAGTGCCACTGACCCCATTCCCAGTACTCTCCTGCAGGAATTGCCACAGTTCCAGGGGCTCCCCCCTCTCCAGGCTCCCTGCCCAGGGTGGAGTGGGTGCTTTAGGGACCTGCAGGGTGAGGTCCCCCATCTCTGCCACCCCAAATCCCCACTCCCAGTCTCACACTGCCCTCAGCTCCCTGCTTTCCCTCTCTTCCCAGCCTCCTGGTGGATCATGAACAACAACTGACCCGGGCCAGCGTCTCCAGGACCCCATCAGCATGCGGGAGGACGTGGGCACAGCCTCTGTCACCTTTGTCACCTCCCTGTCCCTCCATTCCCTCCTGTGGCCAGCGGGGGCTGCCTGCCCTCGGCCCTGCCGGTGTTTTGCTCCTTTGCTCTTTTCATGTTAATTTATTTATTTCTCCTGCTCCCAAGCCGGTGTCTGAGCTGCCTGGGGGGCTCTGGGTGGGGTGGCAGCCCAGGAGCATCCCAGGAGCCTTCAGTCCTTATTGCACTCAGCTCCTCTTCCTCCTGGCTCTGAGCTGCCCAGGGATGGGCAGGGGGCACAGCACTGGCCAGCTGTGACACCCAGCCCAGGGAGCCAGGTGGCCTGATATGCATTGTCAAGAGTGTTTTATAGGGGAAAAAATATTTCCTGCAGTGCTTCTGGCAGGGTGTACCTGCTGAGGGCCTGCGACGCTGGCAGCACGTGGCTCTGAGGCTGGCACTGTGCCCCAGCAGCTGTGCCCATGGCTGGACTTGTCCCCAGCACTGCCAGGGAGGGAGAGGGGCTCCAGTCCCTGCTCAGCTCCCAAAACCCAACCCTGGCACGGGGCAGAGGTGCCAGGAGTGGAGCTGAGGCAGTGGGGAAGGGTCTGGGGTGAGGGGAGTAAGTGAGGGAGGAAGGCTGGGACACCTGCTCCAGGGGGCACTGGGGCTTTCCTTGCAGCAGCAGAGCCTCTGCTGAGCTGGTACAAAATGCATTGTGACAGCCAGTGTGGAGGGAGTGGGATGGTATAGGGCGCAGGAGAGACACCAGCTGTGGGAATCCATAAAATCAGAGGGTTTGGGGAAAGCTGCAAAAGGCACAGCAGAACTGTGACTGGAGCTAAGCAGCCCCATGAGATTGGTCAGATTCCCACAACCAGCCACCCCCCTGGCCTGGAGAACATCATCCTTGTGCATCCAGAGTGGCCCCAGGGGTGCCTGCACCCCCAACCCTCACTCACCTGGGACCTGGTACCACCCCAAAGCTCTTCTCCACTCCCTGTGGGTGCTGCTCCAGCAGAACCATCAGTGTGAATGTTTTTGCCCCAGTCCCTGGCTGCAGGCAGGAGAAGCTGTGCCTGAAGGGGCAGGGGGTGCAGCTCCTCCTGGGGACCCCAGTCACGCTGTGCTGGGTGGGTGTGACCCAGGGGTGGCAGCACAGCAGGGCTCACTGGGTTTTAGGGTGTTTGTTTTGCTCCAGCAGGAGCTGCCTGGGTTGGGGTGCAGGGGCTGACCTGGCTGCTGGCAGCAGGAACCTGCAGGATCAGGGAAGCTCCTGCTTGGAGGGACAGCCCAGCCCAGGGCAGGACAGCCCCCAAACACAAATGAGGGATGGGGGCAGAGCCTGGCCCTGTCCCGGTCCCCAAGCACCCCACTGTTTGATTATCAATCCCTGCTGCTTCCCTGGCCAAAGCCAGGATTTGCTGGGACCATGGGGCAGCAGCAGAGCCCTGGGCCATGCTTCTGCCCCTGGGAGTGACAAACAAGGGATGCAGGATGTGCTGGAGCCACAGCAGCACCATCAGGAAGGGGTCAGAGGGGCAGCCACAGGGGCAGCCCTGCAGCAGACACTGTTTGGGATTCCTGAGCTGCCTCCCCAGCCCCATGGGGGGTTCACTGAACTGGGGTTCAGTTTTGGGTTTTTTCACCACTGGATTAATGTTTGCAGCAGCCTGGAGATCAAAATCCTCTGTTTAAGCCAAGGTGTGGGCATGGGCATCCTTGAGGGGCACAGCTGGCAGTGGCATCTGGGACAGCACCCTGCAGGCTGCTCTGTGCTCACATAAAAAAAGATCATTTAAAAAAAGCTCAGAAAACAACACATTGAGCTGTGAACTCAAAGGAATCACTGGGGACAGGGCTGAACTCAGCTGTGCCTGCACTTGCTCCCAGGCTTTGCCCACAGCATCACCACCACAGGGGAGGAAATTTCTGTCCCTAAAAGCCCAAGGTGTGGCAGCATCCCCCAAAAACCCCAAGAGCTGCCTGAGCACTGCTGAAAACCTCTGTCCCTTCCCAGAGAGAAGGGGAGCTGGAGGATGAATATAGTCTTTTTATTGACTACTTTGGAGTAGAACAAACTAAATACATCTGTAACAGTTTGGGTTCCTTTATACAGGACATTAAATAAGTTATGCACAGGAATGAAGTAACAAATTTCTATTACAGAATTAAATGTCAAAAAAAAAAAAAATAGAAACCTTAACCCAATGTCTTCCCACACCCCAAGTTCACATTTATCATTCCATCTTAAAAAAAAAAACCAACAAAAAAGAAAAGAAGCAATCATTCTAATCATGACTGTTAGTATTTCATTCATTTACACTGGGGTTAATTTTAATACACAGCCATCAAAGTTGCATGAGAATTATGGAAGACAATCTATTTACAAGCAATTCCTCCCAGCCCTGCCCTGCTCCCCTTCCCCACTGTGATTAGAGCTAAGCCTGGCACTGCCACCACTCACCCACAGTGATGCTGGGGCTGATGGTGAGGAGGGGACTCACAACAATGTGGGTTGACCTGAGGCTGTTCCAGAAGTGTCCCTTAGGGCAGGAAATCCCTTCCTGCCAGCCCCAGCATGGGCTGCTGCAGCTCAGGGTGGCTCCAGTGGGAGCTGCCTCAATGCCAGAGTGCTCCAGTTCCTGGGGACACAGGGGACACATCCCCAGGGCCACTGGAGCTGTGGGATTCACTTCAGCACCAGGAGACCTCGTGGCTTTTTAATAAAACCTTGCAGACCAACTCCATCTCACAAGAGCAGCTTCCCAAGGGCCAGGGCTGGAGCAGCAGGTTCCCTGCTCACCCCTGTGACAGCTCATTACAGCTCCATTATTGGCCTCCAATTGAAAAGGTGATCAGAAATAATTAGGGAATTCCTTGCCTCGTTTGGCTCCAGCCCAGCACTGGCACACACACAGTCCCAAACGTGGCTCTGCTCAAGAGAAGGCGAGTTGGGAGCAGCTCCTGGAGGGCACATCCCCTCCCTGCCACGGGCTGTGCCACTGCCACCCTGTGTGACACTGCTGGCCAGCCCTGCTGGCACAGCCTGCACTGCCCTGGGTGCCCCAGTCCCCTTTTCCACCCCACAGCAGGGACTCTGTGATGGACAGAGCCCCCCAGGCTGGCCCCATTCCCCAGGGACCTCGTGATCCTCTGGTTTTGGGACAATCTCTGAAGGTGGATGCACATCCCTGGGCATGTCTGCATGCAGCACTGCAGGAACCCCCTGGAGCAGGGGACAAAAATCCCCACAGGACACCCAGTGCTGCCTTTCTTTCAGCAGTGTGAGTGGAGAGCACAGGCTGTAAACAACCCCTTGCACCAGTGAGGATCCCTGGGCTCATAAACAACAGCAGGAACTCACAAACCAGCAGCTTCCAGGCAGTGAGAAAAACAAAACAACGGCCCCCAGGTGGAAAGGGGCACCTGCACCCAGCCCAGAGCTGCTGTGCACGTGTTCCCCCAGCACAGGCCCCACCCAGGAAACACCCAACTGTCTGTCTCACCACAGACTGGGATGGAATCCAGGCCATCCAGCAGTGCCTCCTGCCACTGCCTCTTGCTTTAGAGCAGACAAATCCCCTCCTCCCTCTCTGCAACCCTCAGCTGCCAGCCTGGAGGCTGAAGTGGGCTAAGCTTTTGCCATTGCACAGAGGATGAGATGCTCCTGCTGGGAAATTGGCTCTGGTCTGTTCACAGCAACAACCAGCCCACACAGCCACCTGAGGCACAGCTGCCTGGGAGCAGGGCACAAACATGGAAATGATGGAGGAAAGGTGGCAGGAGGAGGCAGTGGTGGCTCTGGCACCTTGGGAAGCGAGCCTGAGCATGCCACAAGGACAGGGCTCCCTGCCTGGGCACCACATCTCAGCACCTCCGGTGTGTGCCAGGGCTCTCCCCATAGTCCAGGTCCCCTGAGCAGGTGCCCAGTGTCCCCCAGGTCCTGGCACTGCTCTGGTGTCCCCCTGAGAGGAGCAGGGAGATGCTGCAGGCGGGCTCACCCCAGTCCACGAGCCACAAAGGAACAGGCAGGATGAGAGGGCAAGGCCGGAGTGTCGGTGCCCCGATGTGTCAGATCTATCAAGTGATAACAGTTGCTGCAGGGGCTTTTTCAGCTTTGAAACCCCCAGGGAACTCATCCAGTGGAGTGAAGCCAAGCCAAGGCTCCCTCCTAGAGCCCGTTGGTGTCTATGGCTGTCACGGAGGCCGGCGTGGAGGAGCGCGAGGTGGTGGCCGAGCTCTTCTCCAGGGCTGGGCTGGGGATGCCATCGAGGCTCTTGGCTGCCACCCGGCCCGTGGGCAGTGCCAGGGGCTTGCTCTGGCCGTGCAGGCTTTGCCCACAGATGCGGTGGTGCCTCTCCCAGTCCTTGTGCTGGCAGAAGGAGCCGCAGTAGCGTGCGATGTTGCAGCCGCTGCACGTCTCGCTGGCCTTGCGGCCGCAGTTCCAGCAGCTCTGCAAGAACAAAGACACTGTGCTTAAAGGGGGTTAGTTTCCCTAGGGGCTGCAGGATGGTGCTGACTCAGCTCTGGAGGGGACTGTTCAGCCCCTCTGGCCCAGATTTGAGAATATGCAAATGAGCAATCCATTAATTCCTGCTATTTCCCAGCTCTTTGCCAACAGTTCAAACCCCCACTGCTCTTTGCCCACAGCCTCTCCAGGCACATCCTCTGCCCTAGACCCACCCCAATGCAGACAGGAAACAGCAGGCATGGACTGAAAAACACTCTGCAGATGCTGCTATTGGGCCTTTTTATTTCCTGTTTTAAGCAGCTCTATTTTGGTCTCCCTCCCAGCCAAGTGCTCTCTGCGGGGATCACGGCGCGCTGCACCGGCACCATTTGCTCCGCACCCTGCCTCGCTGCACAAGAGGCTGGAGCAGGCCAATTTGGAAAAGCAAATGCTCATTTGAAAGCCTCCCAGCCAGGTGGAAGCACTGCCAGAGCCTGAGTTTCAGCCTGGAAGCGGAGCAAAGCCCCTCTGGCCGCAGGGAGAGGTGTCAGCTGGTGGCTCCCGCGTGCCACCGCTTCCCTCGGAGCGCGGGGCAAGGGGCCAGCCCGGATCAGGGCTGCAGCTGCTCTGGGGAGGGGAGGGACGGCAGAGCAGCTTCCCTGCAGCTGGAGCAGGGCGTAGCAAACACACACTGGGGAGGGCAGCTCAGCTGTG